GTACTAGAAAAGGTGCTTTATTTGCTTGAATTATTTCCCCTTTCACATTCCTTTTTGTGAATTTTCTCTACGAATGTCTTCAGGATTGAATGGCTCTTGTTCCGTCCATGAATGGGTTGGCCAATTTAGATTCGAGACCGTCAATTTTAAAATGACTTCTGTATGTGGACACGTCATGACGTTGGATTTTATTGGAAAATATAACAATTGGGATAAAGTAGATCCGGTAAGATTAGGTGTACGGCATTTTTTATTCTGTATAATAATTATATTTTTGTTTTGCTGTATATTTTAGGCAGAATTATTCTCCTGCTCAACCGAGAAAAAGGAAGCGGTACCGAAACTAAAAATACCATATTTTTTGGCCAAAGAAGGAGCTCATTGCGATTATTTAGTATTGTGGCTAGATTGCGATAAAGAGGGTGAAAATATTTGCTTCGAAGTTATAAATGCAGTGCAGCAAGGAATGCATAGGAAATTACACATAAATGCAAGTAGCTTATGCATTATACTTACAGATATTAAAACTATTCAATTTTTTTATAATGAATTGCTGATTATAACTTAAATATTTTTACTGTATTAATAAATGAAGCCTTTTTTTAATAGGACATATGGCGAGCACGATTTTCTGCCATTACAGAGAAAGATATAAAATCTGCTTTGGCTAATCTGATAAAGCCCAATGAGAATGAAGCAAAAAGTGTCGATGCACGTCAGGAGTTAGATTTGCGAATAGGCTGTGCATTTACTAGATATCAAACTAAATTTTTCCAAGTATGTCATCATTTTTGCCTTGTCATGTTTTAAGCATTTTAGAATACATATGAATGTTATTATGCTTTTAGGGCAAGTATGGAGATTTAGACGTATCTCTTATTTCTTACGGTCCTTGTCAAACACCAACGTTAGGGTTCTGTGTACAAAGACACGATGAAATTCAGACTTTCAAGCCAGACCCATATTGGATATTGCAGGTAAGTGACTATATATTGTATTTTAAAATTCCTATACAAACATTTTCTTAGATTTTCTATTTGGATTTTGAATTATCTATGTGATGACATTAAATAATATTATCTTTTTGTTACTTAAGGTAACTGTGAAGTCTTCCGATGGTCAGGATATTGTATTAAGTTGGAATCGTGTACGTTCTTTTGACAAAGAAGTTGCAAGCATGTTTTTAAGCCACGTTAAAGAATATGATCAAGCAACGTGAGTTGTACATATTTAAATATTTAAATATGTTAGAAAGACTACATCATTTGAAGTAAATTTATATATAGCGTAGTGAGTATACAGAGCACAGAAAAAACCAAATCGCGACCAATAGCATTAAATACAGTGGAATTGATGCGAGTTGCTAGTTCTGGATTGGGTATGGGTCCACAGCACGCTATGCAAATTGCAGAAAGACTTTATACTCAAGGATATATAAGTTATCCAAGAACAGAGACAACATCATATCCTGAAAATTTTGATCTGCTGTAAGAATCTTACTGCTCGATTGTTTAGTGATTATTTTTAATTTGCACATGTATGATTCATATGTCATATTCGATATTACAATAATTTTTATTTTATTCAAGTTCAACACTGAAACAACAGCAGAATAGCTCGGAATGGGGCGAGGAAGTTCGCAAGATAATAGCAACTGGAATCAATAGACCAAAGAAAGGTCACGATGCAGGTGATCATCCGCCTATAACACCTATGAAACATGCAACCAGAAACGAACTCGATGGTGATTTGTGGAGATTGTATGATTATATAACGCGACATTTTATCGCTACGGTATGTTGAAAATTAATATATTTGATATACTGTGAAGTAGTAATCCTTACTTGTATTATATATATTACATGTATGTATTTCTCTCTTTCTCTCTCTCTCTCTCTCTCTCTCTCTCTCTCTCTCTCTCTCTCTCTCTCTTTTGATTTTCGAATTGTAGCTGGCACGGGATTGTAGGTACTTGAGTACTACAATAAAATTTGAGATAGGCATGGAAATATTTACAGTTACTGGTCACAGTCTATTAAGTCCTGGCTACACGAGTATTCTTCCTTGGCAAGCGCTTGGCAATAGTGATACCCTGCCGAAATTTATATTCGATGAGAAAGTAAATATACAAGAGGTAAAAGATATTTTTATTACGTTACATTTGCTTTTACGTTACATTTTTAGCCACATTTCAAAAAGAAAAAAGTAAAAAAAGTATTATACAAAATAACGTGTAATGTAGAATATCTTCTTTGATTGTTATAGGCCAAATTAGTTGAATGTTATACACAACCGCCAGATTATTTAACAGAGGCAGAATTAATATCTCTCATGGAAAAACATGGCATCGGAACAGATGCTTCGATTCCTGTACATATAAATAATATCTGCATTAGAAATTATGTTACTGTTGCAGCAGGCAGAAAATTAATACCTACTTCTCTTGGTATTGTTTTGGTTCATGGATACCAAAAGGTATCTTTGATTTTATTTTTTCTACATAATGCAATGATAAATCTTATATAAAACACATGTATTCCCTTTATGTTAGATAGATCCTGAATTGGTTTTACCCACGATGAGATCTGCAGTAGAAGAACAACTAAATCTAATAGCATTAGGTCGAGCTGACTTTCATGCTGTACTACAACATACCGTAGAAATTTTTAAACAAAAATTTCATTACTTTGTACAAAGTATAGAAGCTATGGATCAATTGTTCGAAGTATCGTTTTCGCCGCTATCAGCTTCCGGCAAAGCACACTCCAGGTAAACAATTATAATGATAATTATATTTATTGTTTGCTTTGTATAACTACATTACATTTATCCGCTCTTCTTTCAATCTCTTATTATTGATTTATGTTGTAGATGTGGTAAATGTCGTCGATACATGAAATACATACAAACTAAACCGTCTAGAATGCATTGCGCGCATTGTAATGAAACTTACAACTTACCACAAAATGGGAACATACGAATATACAAAGAATTAAAATGTCCATTGGACGACTTTGAATTACTTTCATGGTCGACCGGAACACGAGGAAAAAGTTATACATTTTGTCCATACTGTTATAACAATCCACCATTCAGGTATGTTCACACAGTTGTATGTATTGTAATTAAATGTTAAAGGAAGACTGAATATTTTTTTTAATTTAGGGATATGAAAAAAGGAATGAGCGGTTGCAATTCGTGCACGCATCCAACATGTCCACATGGTATGAATTCAAATGGCTTATCCAGTTGTTTGGAATGTGATCTAGGTATACTTGTACTCGATCCTTCGGCCGCACCTAAGTGGAAATTGGGATGTAATCGTTGCGACGTTATTATCCATCTATTTGAGAATGCGCATAAAGTAACAGTTGATACAGATACGTGTGATTGTGGCGCACAATTAGTAACCGTCGAATACAAACAGGTGAGGAATATAAGTAGCTTATGCTGAAACGACTATGCAACTGTATATCTTTTTTGGTTTTAGGATAAAAGTAAACTCCCCAACGAAGTGACCGAAATGTCTGGCTGCGTGTTTTGCACCCCAGCTTTTGCTGCGTTAGTAGAAAAGCATCGTGCAGTAGCTTCGAAACCAGTTGTCACGCGTGCTCGGGGTCATGCAAAGAGTCGTAACCGAGGCAAAGCTAAACCACCAAAGGACAAAATGGCACAACTGGCAGCATATTTCGTATAATGAACCATTTGGAGCTGCATATATTATAAAGTCATTTACGTGTGTGTATCTCGTCTCGTTCTTTGCAAATAAATCCTTATCACAGCATATATTAGAGTAATGGTAGTAATGATTAATTATTTTCATGCTTTTTATTAAATAATCTTTTGTAGAAAAGTACTACTGAGCACTAGGAGTATTTTGAGGCACTACTCAGCACTACTACAGTAGTGCTGTAGTGTAGTAGTGCAGTAGTGGTGAGTAGTGCCTCAAAATACTCCTTGCTCAGTAGTACTTTTCTACATGGGAATAAAATCTTACGATGTGTTAATTACAACGCGTTTTTTTAGAATAATGTGTTTATTAAAGAAATTTGACAAGTTTTAACGAATACATATATATTTTTTTTTATTAATTTATATAAAATATTAATTAAAAATTCTTGATAAAAGTTTAGAGAGTGCAAGATTTATTTTTAGAGAGAGGTACAGAGCGGTTCAAATATGATTCTATGATTTGAAATCTCTTTTTAAAATACTTATTTATAAAAAATAATATTGCTATAACTCTTTTTATTGGAATATATATGTATATATTTTTTAAATATTTTTATAATACTTGCTTAAACGTTTAGTTAGAGGGTGTTAGTCAGATATTCAAGGTCTGTTCTTTATTGCTGAACTTTTGCACTAGTTCATCTTTCTTCCTTTTCTCTCCACCTATCATGGAACAAAGTCGGAATATGGATTCCGATCGGAATTATTTCGTTTTCCCTAAAAAACACAATAGAAATCTAGGGAATAATTGAACAATTCCGATCGGAATCCATTCCGACTTTATTCCATGATAGGTATGCAGGAGAAGGGAAAAGGAAAAAAGATGAAAACTGGTGCAAAAGTTCAGCAATAAAGAACAGACCTTCAGTGTGGCGTTGTAGGCGCTGCTGCGGCGCTCAAGTCTGTTCTTTTTCAGTTTCAGTTAAGAGTTTCCTCTCTAGAAAAACCTATAGAGTTAGCGGGACAAGCGTCCTTTGTATTGCATTGTATTGCGCGCGTAAAGCGTACAGTTATAAAAACACGGCAATTAGTTTGTGAGGACGTTCGTAATATTTTGAGTTTGTAAATCATCTTTAAACTTGAAATAGATTCAGTGATAAACCTTTCACTGCCGAATAAGCATTTTCCCGCCTTTCCATTCAACGTTGGCGTTAAACACGCACGGCGCCTTGTTGGGTAACGAGACACGTTAGCCCCCACAACTGGTGATCCTGATGTGATCGCGTCGCGTCCGTGCAATCTTTTTTACACAAGATTTTGTCGTCGACATGGCCAGTGGCTCAAGCGGTTCTCGTTCAGGCGATCAGGCTAGCGGTATGTCGGCGCGTATATACGATGAAGTGCACGCGCTTTCGCGATTCGAAATAAAACCCATACCTTTTTGGAAAACGAAGCCGGATCTATGGTTTGTGAAGATAGAAGCCCTGTTCCGTATAGCGGATATAACGGTAGACGTAATCAAATACAATTATGTGATACAGTGCCTTGACGACACTTCTCTGACAGTGGTTAGTGACTTTGTGCTTAAACCTCCCGCGGCAGATATAAAGTACCTCATTCTCAAATATAGGTTAATCGAAAAGTTCGCGAAAGAAAATAGTGCCGAAAGAAAACTGCGTGAATTGTTAGATGAGGTTGATCTAAGCGATCGCCGTCCGTCACAGGTGCTTCGCAGAATGAGGGACCTTGCGCAAAACAGCGTGTCTGAAGAAGTACTTAGGTCCTTATGGTTGCAGCGCCTGCTACAACAAATACAGGCTACTTTAACAGCTACAAAATATGATCTTGAGGAACTGGCAGACCGAATAATGGATGTATTACCCATTGGTAATAACACTGTCGCAACTTTAACACCAACTCAAGCTACCTCAATGGATTCGCAAATGTCTACGCTGCTGGATAGGGTAGAAAAACTGGAAACACATTTATCACGCAGCGAGTCACATGTTTCATCGGACCGTCATTGCAGAAGCCGTTCAAGATCCAAATCGGAGAACCATCTCTGCTGGTATCACATACATTTTGGCATAAATGCTATCAATTGTACGCAACCCTGCGGCTGGTAGACTAGAAGGTAGCCGAGCTATCTCCGGCACTAGATGCAACAAGATATTGTTAGCTATATATCAAGAAAACAAGCTCTCCTATTGGATATCGGACGTCGTACGTTGGATGCCGGACGCAGTGTGAACCCTACATATTAGCTGCGGCGCTTAAGTCTGTTCTTTTTCAGTTTCCTCTCTAGAAAATACTCTGTTGGTTAAGAGATACAAGTGTCCAGCGTATTGCGTGCGTCATACGTACCTTTTATAAAACACAGCGATAAGTTATAAGTAGCGCTCTGTAAGATGTATTATTTTCCTCTTTTTAAGTTACGTCGCGAGATCTTAATTGTTCATGTCGTTAGACAGTAATCTTGTCATTAATTTCTAAGTTCTCTGTGTCATAGTCGGTCTTGCGATGTCGTTATTATTGTCATTCGCATGCGATCACGTCTACACGAGTTCCTCGTACATTAGCATATTCATTTGAGTTTGTAATAAATTATCTTTAAACTTGAGACAGATTCAGTGATTAACCTTTCACTGCCGAATAAGCATTTTCCCGTCTTTCCATTTCGCCTTCAGCGAATCATCGTCAGACACGCACGGCGCAATGTTGGACAACGAGACACCAGAGATAGTCACTAGTAGTCGCTTATCTAGTGACTTTGCAGAAAGAAGCCTTTTGGTTCATTTCAACTGATTTTAACCTTTTTACTGAATGTTATATTGCGTTTACATTTTTGTTTAACATGGGTTTGTGTAATATCGAATGTGTAGAAAGAATAGCGCGATATCTCGATGTTTCTCCAGGAAAGTTGCAAATTTCAGATAAAAATGTGAGTATTAAACTATTTCATAAAAATGTTTGTGATTCCTTGCTCCATGTGTAGTTTTGTGTACCCGGTATCATTTATATAAGTGTATATGTATAAAATATAATTATAAATGTGTTCAGTAATGACAGTATTCCATTATGTATCCGAATACAATATACATCACATGAAGTATGAGAGATTTATTTTATAACTTGATATGTACACACACACACATATATATATATATATATATATATGTAACACATATCTAGTCACACAAATTGGTTGTTTCAGATAGTATTTATTCCAGAGTATGCAGAAAAGAATTTACCAGCCATTCAAGGCTTTAGCACTATTGTGCAAGCACTTGTAAGGCGTTCAAAATGTTCTGATATACTTAGCAATGAAAAAGAAACACAAGCATTGATACAGCAGTGGCTAGAATATATTGTAATCTGTATCAATTATGCAGATGTTCCTGCTAATGCTAAAAGAATATTAAATGCAAGTGTCATATATATGTAATATATAACACATGTTTTATATATATTATTATATATATATATATAGCATGTGTTTTATACTGAAAATTAATATAATATTAATCTGACTTTTAATTATAGGAACTGAATACAATATTAAAAGATGTACCATATATAATTGGTACAAAAAAGACTATTGCAGATATTGCGTTGTACTATGTTTTACATTCCATCATGGTAACAGCTCATTGTTATAAAATAAATTATAGTGATATATATATAATATATGTGTCTTTATAATATATTCTCATAGTTTACTATTTTTTTTTTTACAGAAAGGATTAAGCCTTCACCAAAAGGCACAATATATTCACGTTTCAAGATGGTTTGATAATATTCAACAAGAGGAGAAATTGAGACGAGAATTGGAGCTAATATCTTTTAACTTATTACATATATTTCTATAATTAAAATACAATGTTTTGTATTTATTTTACTCTATGTTTATGGATATACATGCGATTAAATTGGTTTACAGATGCATTGTCCTGTACATCGCATCTATGATTTGTAATATTTATATAATGTAATTTAATACACACACATATATATATATATATGATAATTTATTATTAGTTAAAATTAAGTATAATAACGATATATAAAAGAAAATCATAAGTCTTGTAATTATGAATGTAACTAAGCTGCAAATATATTTTGCACTGTTAATTTATAACAACTAATTACCAAGCCATTTATTACTCTCATTTGTCCTTGTAAATTGCTTTTGTTGTTTGTATTA